GCGACTGTAGGCACCGACCAGTGGCCAGGGGCAGCGCAAGGGCCGGAGTCTCCGCCACCAGCTCGTCGAGGAGTGCCTTGGTGTGCTCCTGGTCCCGGGGCCTGGCTGGCGGCTTTCCTCGCCACATAGAGCGGGTTCTCCCGCCTCAGCCTGTCCAGCCCCTCGGGGCGGGCGTAGCGCTCGTCGGAGCGGGGCCGCCACCCTGGAGCCGGGCGAACCGGCCCCAGCATATCGAAGCCGGCGTTCACGTCCTGCTGGAGGTCGTCCGCCGCGGGGTAGCCCACGCCGCGGAGCAGGCGGTCGAGCACCAGGCCCTGAAAGGGGCGGGGCCTATCCTCGGTGACGTAGGTGGCCCGCACGTGGTCGGGCAAGGTCGCCAACCAGGCGTCAGTGTCGTCCGCGGCGTCCTCGACCATCTCCTGGAGCTCTCTAAGGACGTCCCGCCGGATGCGTACGAGGTCGTGGCGCCACTCCCGGCGAAACTCCAGGATGGCCTCCAACGCCGGCTCGAGGGTTGGCCAGCCAACCAGCGAGTGCTTCATGCGGGCCGCGGCCGCCCAATGGCGGTCCTCGTCCAAGCCCTCGCCCAAGACCTGCGGCTCTGGCTTGGGGGGGGGGACAGGTCCCACCCCCGGCGGACCCAAAGCTGGGATAGCCAAGGATAGTGCCCCGGCGCGGTTCGGGGGCGGGCGAAGCGCCAGACGCCACCGGCTTGGCCCAGGTCGCCATGACGAGGAGGCCCAGGAGCCTGGAGGCCACGCCCCAGTGCCATCCATTCCCGACCATGTGGTGGCGCGTCTTGGCGTCAGCCCCGGCCTTGGCGGTGTACCGGTCGGTATGTGGTGGAGCTGCTCCTTCACCTCCGGCGGCGGGATGTGCAGGACGCCCTTGGAATCCTGGAGCATGGCCTCCACAGTGTAGTGCCATGGATGGGGCGAACTGGCGACCGCCCTCCAGCCAACGGGTGTCCGCGTCGCGAGGGGTCCGCCTTCTGGTCGACCGCGGCTTGGCCCGCCCG